CCCTCATGCTGCAACTAAAAAGATTCTGCATGCTGCAACTAAAGATCCCACATGCCGCAAGGAAGATCTTGTGTGCTGCAACTAAAACCCGGCACAGCCTAAATAAATAAACAAACAAACAAATAAATAAATATTTTAAAAAATCTGTCAAGCCAATGTTCTGTAATTTGACAATTATGTACTATTATGGTGTGTTTTTAATTTTTTTTAATCTTAATTTTTTTTTTTAGTTTTTCGCCATTCCACGTAGCATGTAGGATCTTAGTTCCCCAAGCAGGGATAGAACCCACACCCTCTGCATTGGAAGCATGGAGTCTTAACCACTAGACCGTCAGGGAAGTCTGTGGTGTGTTTTTTAAAAAGAATTAATTTTGTGTTTTATTTATAAGTTGAGGATATCACTTTATTTTTTAATAATCAGGAGCAGTTAGTCCCTGAGATATTTTTTAATAAAATCTATTGATGTTTAGTATACAAAAAATAAACTGCATCATTTAAAATATACCCTTTTATGAATTTTGACAGAGATATTGAAACTACCTTGAAACCACCACAACAATCAAAACAAAGAACAATTCCAATTGCATCACCACCAGTTGTTTCCTTGACTCCTTACAGTCCATTCCTCCTTCCACCAAGGCAGGTGCTGCACTGCTTTTTGTTACTATGGATTAGTTGGCATTAAATGTGGATTGATATCAGGGTAGGCCCTCTGACTTTGCCTTTAAAAAAAAAGTGTTTTGGCTAGGTCATTCACATTCCAAAATAAAATTTTGAATTAGCCTGTCAATTTTCACACACAAAAAATAAACCTGCTGGAATTTCATGGAGATTAAGTTGAACATATAGATTAATCTGGAAAAACTGACATTCTAGCAATATTGTTTTCCATCTCATTAATATGATATAGCTCTTTATCTAGGTCTTTAGCTTCTCTCAACAATGTTTTATAGTTTTCAATGTATAGCTATTGCATATATTGTATTAAACTAATTGTAAATATTTCATCCTTTTGAATGCTACTGGAAATGAAATTTTTATTTCATTTTCCAATTGTTTATTTCTAGTATATAGAAATACTACTCTATTTTTGTATATTGACTTTGCATAAGCCTTGCTAAATTCACTTATTGAGTTCTAGGGTCATTTTCCTGTTTGCCTTATGATTTTCTAGTACACAATCATATTGTCTGCAAATAGAGTTCTACTTCTTCCTTTCTATTTTGTGTGCTTTTTCTTTTCTTTTCCTTTTTTTTTTTTTTTTTTTGACTTTTTGCACTGGCTACGGCTTCTAGTAGAACGTTGAATAGCAGTAAGACAGGGCATCTTTGTATTGCTCTCAGTCTTAGGAGAAAGGCATTCAGTGTTTTGCCATTAAGTATGGTGCTAACTGTGGGCCTTCCATAAATGTTCTTGAACCAGTTGAGGATGTTTCCTCTCTTATTTTCCTAGAGAGCTGATAATTGTGAATGGATGCTGAATTTTAAAAAATGCTTTTGCTTTATCTATTGGCATAATTATAATGCGATTCTCCTTTATTTTGTTAATATGGCGAATTATGTTAACTGGTTTTGAGTGTTAAACCAACCTTGCATTTCTGAAATAAACCTTACCTGGTCATGATGTGTAACAATCCTTTTTATATGTTACTGGGTTTAACTCACATTTATATGTGTATATACAATTTGTGTCTCTATGTATGAGGGATTTGAGTCTATTATTTTATGTAATGTCTTTGTCTGGTTTTAGCATCAGAGTAATACTGTCTTTAAAAAAAAAATGAGTTTAAGGGATATTCCTTTCTCTTCTGTTTTTGAAAAAATTTGCATTGGGTTGGTATTATTCCTTCCTTACATGTTTGATAGAATTCAACAGTGAAGCCCTCTGATCCTGGAGTTTCCTTTGTTGGAGAGTTTTCTAAGTACAACTTTAATTTCTGTAATACATATAGGACTACTCATTATCTATTTCTTCTTGTGTCAGTATTAATATTTGTGTCTTTCAAGATATTTGTCCATTTTATTTGTTATGAAATTTATTGGCATAAAGTTGTTCATACTATTCCCTTATTATCTTTTTAAATGTCTTTTGGTTCTGTATTGACAGACTCTCTTTCAATCCTCATACTGGTAATTTGTGTTTTCTCTTTCTTCTTGATAAGTCTATCTAGAGCTTTATAAGTTTCATTAATAATTTCAAAGAATCAGATTCTTGTTTCATTGATTTTTCTGTGCTGTCCATCTGTTTTCATTTTCATTGTTCTCTAATCTTTACTTTAAAAAAAAGTGCTCTTCTTTTTCTAGATTCCTTAAGAGAGAGCATAGATTATTGATGTTGGATCTTTTTTTTTCATAATATAGGTATTTAAACTTATATATTTTTCTATAGGCATTGTTTAGCTGAATTCCATAAAGTTTTATATGTTGCATTTTACTGATTATCAGTTTGAATATTTTCTAATTTATTTGTGATTTGATTTCTTCTTTGACCTATGCATTGTAAACAAGCAAAGTTGTTTAATTTTCCAGATGTTTGGGGCTTTTCTACATGCTTTACTGTTTTCTATTTCTATTAATTCTATTGTGATCAGAGAACATACACTGTATGATTTATTCTTTTAAAATGTATTGAGACTTGTTTCATGGCAGCATATAGTCTATCTTTGTAAATGTTCCATGTGTATTTGAAAAGAATATTTATCCTGCAGAGGTTGGGTACAGTGTTCTATAAATGTCAGTTAAAATACTGTAGTTGATTGTGTTCAGATCTTCCACATCTTTACTGATTTTTTTTTTTCTTATCTGGATGTTCTATCAATTACTGAGCTAATTCTGTTAGTCTCCAACAGTGATTAGGATTATGCACGTTCTTTTTTCCCCCTTTAGTTCTGACATTTATTCTTTTTTTAAAAAAATTATTTATTTGGCTGTGCTGGGTCTTAGTTGTGGCATGCAGGATCTTTAATTGAGGCATGTGGGATCTTTTCGTTGCGGCATGCAGGCTCTTAGTTGCAGCATGTGGAATCTAGTTCCCTGACCAGCGATTGAACCTGGGACCTCTGTGTTGGGAGCGTGGAGTTTTAACCACTGGACCACCAGGGAAGTCCCTGACATTTATTCTTCATATACTTTGAACTTATGTTATTGGTCACATATTATTTATAATTAATATGGCTTCTGGTTTTGCTGACCTTTTTATTGTTATGAAATATCCCTCTTTGTCCCTAGGAATATTCCTTGTCTTGATGTCTACTTTTGGAAAGTTGCATATGTTTATATAATTCATGTATCAGTGAGGTCTCCAACATTTGGCTTCTATTACTTGTAGACTGTATTATACAGAACTAGGAAACCCTATGCGCATAGATAGACACAGAGGTAGGAACAAGAATGGCAGGACCATTCCACAACCATGTCAGGTGATGAGGCTGTAGGACCAGCAGCGAGAAAGCAGCAGAGGTTAACATTTTGCCCTTTATGCTCTTGACAATATAGCATAATGGTTAAGAGCACAGTTTTTGTAGTCTTACAATTCTAGGTTTAATTGCTGTCCACCATTACTTAACTGTGTGACCTTGGGCAAGTTACTTAACCTCTGTTTCTTCATATGTAAAATGGGGACATATAATAGTACATGTGTTTTACAAACATAAAATTACATATATATAGTATATATATACACTTCATATACATATCTACACACACAAATATATAGTGCTTAGCAAAGTATCTGTTCCATAAATATTTTTATGTCATTGTATAATATATAATATGATATATTGCTATATCACATATTCATATATTCTAGTTTCCACTTTCCTGACTTCAAATTTTCAGAGATTTAGTTAATTGTCTTTTCTTTCTCCTATTTGCCCTTATTCCTCCTGCCCCTACTCCTACTCTATTTTCTTATTTCCCAAACTTTTTGGTCCCCACCCCTGCCAACATGTATTTAATAACCTCAAGAACTGTAAACTACAATTAAGGCGGTTGCTGCTTGCTGTCTTTGTTTTGAGGCTCCCCATCCATCTTTATAGCTTGTCTAGGGCTTCAATTTCTGCTCTGAAAAAATTTCTTCTCTGCATTTATTCGAGTTTTCCGGTTATTTGCAATATTGTTGCAAATAACCGGGGCTTACATACCTAGTTCAGAAACACACTCCAAGTATGTACTTGTGCTGAAAGAATAATAACACTGTTTACAGAAGAAATGCCCTATATTTTTTAAAAGGATTCTCAGCAGAGCTTATTAAAAAAAAAAAAAAAGCCCTGTTAGAAGGGGAATGTGAAAGCTCAAGTCACCTACTCCTTTTCCCACTCTGAGAAGCATCTCCTTCAGAAGAATTCCCAACCAGATGGTGTTCGATGTTCCTGACCCTGCAGCATGATTTGGAAAAAAGATCATAGGTTTTGAAGTCGGATAACTCAGACACTTAGGCTTTCTGTTATTTCTTAGCTTTTCCTAGCATGTCTCCTGGTTTGTAAATTGCATCGGGTATTATCGGCTGTCCATGGTTTCCTCTTCAGGGAAGACATTCCCAAACCCACATCCATGTTCATTTCCCTTTCATACATTTTGTACCTTTCATCTGAGGCAACTCTCAGAGTTTTTGATTTTCATTTAAGTATGTATTTATTAACGTCTGCCCCTAATACTGGACTGTAGCTCCACCAGGCCAGGGACCACGAGCGTTGACCGTACCCCTGTATTCCCAGGCTAGACTCAGCACTGTGCACCCAGAGTCTAGCAGAGTGCCTGGCACACAGTAGGAAGCCAACGAACAAATGGATGACAAAAGGGCAGCAGCCTCTGGCCCTAGCGCCATCGGTGAGGTGTGGAGGGAGCCGCCCAGGCCCGCAGATCCGTCCCAGGCACTAGGACCAGGACCCCCACCAGGCCCAGCACCGCCCCTGGCCCTGGCCCTGCCCCTGGCCACCAACCCGAACCATCGCTTGCGGTAGCGCCTCTCCCGGTGACGCCATCCGGGGGCGGGACTTCCGGCCGCCGAAGTTTAACAGTCCAGGCGGGAGCCGGAAGCCCAGCGCCGGAGAGGGCCGCGCCGGGGCCCCCGGTGTACGGCGGCTGAGAGGTGAGGTTCCGGAGGGTCCGGGGTGGGGGCCGACGCCTGCCGAGTACTTGCCCACTACTGGTGCCCGCTCTCCGGTCAGCTCAGGGGGCGGGTCGGAGGCCCCTGGGGTCCCGGGGCTCCGGCCGGCCTGGCGCTCCGGACGGTTACCGGGCAGGGGTGCGGCGGCGCTTTTGGCGCGGAAGTGCCAGGGAGCCGCGGGCCGGGGTCGCGCACCTCCCCCTGCGACGGGCTCCGGTCGGGCCTGAGAGGTGGCCCGGGGCAACTGGGGTAGGTCGGTGGCGGCTCTGGGGACTGCGCTGCCTCCGGAAAGTTTGCCGCTTGTCCACAGTCCCGTTCTCTTTTTGTAAACCGCTCAAATCCAACTCGTTTAGCAGGCGCTCAAATGCATTTTACGAGGTAACCCCAGTTGAGCAAGACTCCTGCAAGTAAAATGCATTTTGGGTTTTTACTGAAACTTGTAGAACTTTTGTTTAAGCTAAGTCGTAGTGGAATTGTTTTTTGTAGCCGCGCTCCCCGAATCCGGGGCTGACGGTGCTACCGCCTTGTGTCCTGACAGCTCAGTTTTGATGGGAGCCTCTTCCTCAGGCTGATATGATGCCGCGCCCTTAAAATGTGCTCAGTTCTCGGAAGACTGAGGTTGGTGGGCCCTTTCCCGCTCCACTTTGAGAGGAGGAGACCGACGTTGGATGACTTGGCCAAAGTGACTGTCACCTAACTCTGGGGCAGATCATCTGAGCCAGGTCTAAAGGGATCTTTCCGCTACATCACGCCGCTCAACAGGCATGGTCTAAGATTATAGTAAAGATATCTTTCAGTGGTTTTTACTGGGTTTACAGATGCCTTTCAGCACTTCATTGTTGTTGAGTAGGGATCCGAAAGGGCACATGTTACCACCTGTTAAGGCACCGAATCCAAACACTATGTCTACATTTCAGCAGATGACTAACGGCTCTTAGTAGAACTGTATTTATCTGATGAATGGAGCATAGTGAATCACATAGGTGGCTTTTCTAGTTAACAAAAGTTTTAGCTTCTTTATAAACACATTGAAAATTTTGTCTCTGGAGAATGAAAGGGCCCTGTAACTTGTTAGGCCTTTAGGTTGTCCTCTGAAATAGAGTCTGCTCCTCATAATTGTGATGTTTTGTTGATGACTTGGGAACCTGTCTGTAATATCACTTATGCGCTGCTGCACTCTTGCACTGTCCACACCAGGAAGGTGTGAAGGGTATATTTCTAGGCCCCCGTCCCTTCCCTTCCCCTTTCTCCCAGGTATTTCTCAGCATTTTTTTCTTACCCATCATGTATTACTACTTGCCTTTTGTCTTCTAGACTGCCTTGGTTTATGAAATCACTTTGTCAGAATTCTGTGTTTGAACTGTATACTGTGAACAAATAATACAAGCGAAGGCATTGTAGACTGTGTGTTGGTATAGGGACTTAGTGACATCTTCTTAGGCTGTATTTGCTAATTTTAGACTTATTTGGAAAGCCTGCCATGGCGGGATTCTGACCTGCAGGAGTACTACAGTTTATCATAAATTTTTTAAAAGGTAAGGAAGTTACCTATCCAACAGTTATTTGTTGAGTACCAGCTGTGTGCCAGGAATGTTTCAAGACTGGTAGTAAACAAGATGAAATCCCTGTTCTAAGGATCTTTATTTTGTTCAAGTCAAGGGGAGTCAGACATGAGAGTAAGACTGCAGATAGCAGGAAGGGCCATAAAGAATGAAACAGGGTAATGGGATATAGGACAACTGGTGTGGAGCAGCTTTAGCCATGGTGGTCAGGGAAGGCCTTTCTGAGGAAGAAACATGAGCTGAGACTGGAATGATGTGAAGGAGATGACCTTGGGAAATCGGGAAAGACCATTCCAGGCAGATGGGGCTGCAAACAGAAAGACTCGGAGGTGAGAAAGAAGGCCAGTGAGTTTGGTGGCCCTGGGAAAGAGAGGTAGGAATGTTACAGCAGGCCAGTTTGTGTAAGGCACGCTAAGGAGATTGGATTTCATTGTACTTGTTCTGGAGAGTCATTGGAAAGGTCAGCTAAGAGAATATGATCTGGTTTATGTTTTAGAGAGATCACTCCAAAAACTTTGTGGTGAGCACAGTCTCTGAGACAAAAGTGAACGAGTAGAGCCACTTGTTTTAGATAAGATGCCTCATCTTAACTCTTGTTTTTAAAACCTATCCTTAATTGTTTTTAAAATATGTTGTTTTAAACTATTTGCAGGTGCAGTCATGCAGGAAAACCTCAGATTTGCTTCATCGGGAGATGATGTTAAAATATGGGATGCTTCATCTATGACATTGGTGGATAAGTTCAACCCACACACATCACCACATGGAATCAGCTCAGTGTGTTGGAGCAGCAATAGTATCCTTTTCTTTTTTAAACAACCACTTTTTGTTAGGTTAAACAACCAGTATCAATGAAACTTTTGCATGTGATCCATAATGAGAAATATATTTGGCATAGCTGTGAAATAGGAACTTAGTAAACAGTATGTCATATGATGCACACTGATATTCTCTGTTAATTTCATTAAAAACTTATTTGCAATTCACTACATTGAAAAACACTGCTATTAAAAATATGTTAGCTACTAGATGCAGATCATAGAATTAGTTTTGTTATTAACAGTTTGTTATTGAATCAAATGGAATAAGGTAGGTAATGGTGGGAAAAGTTCTGAAAGGTTCTGGAATGATGTTTTGTATCTGTGTTTGGATATTTGTAGTTGGGAAATTAAAGACAGAACTTGAAGGCAGAAGCAAAGGTTGAGGGAAGAGATAAAAATAGTCAAACATTCCCATCTTACTGATGTATTCTCTGTATTTCTCTTCCTTTCTATCTGTGATGAAAATAGTCTTGTTTCCCAAAAAGACAGGAAAATTATCTAGATTGAACTTTCCTAAGGTTTTTATGTTTCTGATTGACATCCTCCCTGTCTTAATAAGTTCCTAGATGTGGATAAAATGAACTCATAAATAGGGATTTCTCAGTATCTCACTATTGACATTTTGGGCAAGATAATGCTTCGTTATGGAGGCTGCCCTGTGCATTGTAGGATGTTTAGAAGCCTTCCTGGTCTCTACCAACCAGATGCCAGTAGCCCCAGTGGTGACAGCCAAAAATCATCTCCAGAATTGCTAGATGTCACCTGGGAGCCAGAATCACCCTCGGTTGTGAACCACTGCTGTAAACAAAGTATTCTTACCACCTTTTGTATGAAAATGTTATGTATACTTGGTATGCTAGAAATAATCATTCGCCTGTGGAACTCATACGCATACACTATTTCTTAAACAACAGATTAAGCTTTAACATGTGTCTGATCTTATCAGTATCAAAGTAGTAATATTCTGCTTCCTGATGAAAGTAAAAATATCAAAGCTTTAAAATACGAATGATTCATGAACAAAAACATTAGAAGTTTTCATGCTCAATCTAACTATTCTTGCAAATACATAACAAAAATGATGAATTTTCTTATTGAATTAAATTTACCTCTTCATCATTCCTTGATTTTGTATTAAAGTATCAAAATAAATAACTTTGGTGCTTTATTAATCAAACTCATGGTGAAGGGACTGCATTTTTGAAGGACTCTAGATGTAGAGTGGGGTAAGATGTTTTAAAAAGAGTCACAAATGTGTGAGGTTCCTTCTATTAGATTTTTATTATGTTTAGAGCTTAATTTTCCTTGTTACTCACTGCATAAAGGTAGCAGTTCTTAATGAGATTTATTATTTTTTTCCTCCAAGGAATTTTATTAGGAGTTGATACATTTACTGATAAACCACTTAATGCTCTATCAACAAAACTGATGTAACTATGTGATGGTGTCCTATGACTTTTGGAAACTGGTCTTATTTCTGTATAGTTTTGTTGTACAAGTACATGTGCACTGAAAACCTTTGTATAGTTTTATACCTATTGAGGCTTTGATGCCTTCCATAGAGGTTAGTTACTGAAGACCAAGGAATTCCCAGACTCAGAGATTTAGGGACCACTTAGCATGGATCCCAAGGACAGCGTTGATGGTGAGGTGCCAGGGAGATTAGTTTTCTTTTTTTTGGTTCTCTAGGTAATATTCCTCACTTTCTCATGATTTCTAAAACTACATGAGAAATAAAAGGAGTAACTAGAGTACCCTCTTGTATTGTTTTCTCTCAGTCCTTTCTTTAATATATTCTAAGGAGAAAAGTAACAATAAACATAGGAAGAAGCCAAGGAAAGGGAAATGATTTATTTTTCTCAGTGCTGTAATATCTAGGTAGGTGGAAGTGATTTTGTTTGAATCATATATCATAATAAAATTACAGTCCATGGTATGTTCACAAAATATCTGAATGTTATGTAGATCATCCAAAAGTAATGCAGTTAAGACTTTGCTTGTTAAAAGTATAGGTTTAAACTTCTGATATTTTAATTTGTTTTGACTCAAAATCAGATTCTTGGTCTTGGTTATATTATTGTATTTAGTCATTTTAGTTTTAAAATACTTACATTGTTTTGTGTTTACTGATTATTCCACTTATAATTTATGTAAAATAAGGAAATTATAATTTTAAATTATTAAATTAAATTTTAAATAATTATTTATTTTAATAATTAAAAATTATATTTTAAATAACTTGAATTTAATTGAATTGAAATAAAGTCAAAACTCTCATAACATAGTTGCTGTGTAACCACACTTATTTATATTTGCTACATATACTGTAATATTCTTAATACATTTAAGATTAAAACACTCTATCACAAAAATTCCATCCTGAGAAAATATCAGGCTTTATCTCTTAGTAGAAAAATAGGAGACTAATGTGGATATTTGCTTCCTAGCTTAAATTGATATCAAGCACTGCGTTACTAAATAGCTGTCTTAAACAGTATTTATAGATGAAAAGGTTGATTGATATTTCCCTGATGTTGCTTTTATCATGCTCTCATTCTTGAAGGATAAAATTAGACCTTCTGGCCTACTCTTTGAAAATGGAGTAGTATTTCACATGGGTTAAATAGCTTTCAAGTGATAGCAGAATCAGAAAGGATGGTTCTTCCCTGCAGTAGTAGTAAAGAGAATTAGTCTTAGCAATTAGTAATCTGAGCCAGTTTTGAAAGCTAATGTATCAGCTATATTCGTTGCTTAGTGTGCTTGCTTTTGTCATCTCAATTCTTGTAATGATGGTCGAGTGCTAGAGCTGCTCATGGATTGTTCGATTCTCCATAACTCTTCATTTAGATAACTTTCTAGTGACAGCATCTTCCAGTGGTGACAAAATAGTTGTTTCAAGTTGCAAATGTAAACCTGTTCCACTTTTAGAGCTTGGTGAAGGGGTAAGTGTTTTTTTAACTTTTAAAAATCTGTTTTGCTTGGGTTGTAATTGCTTATTTATTATGGTGCTGGCAACTAAATATGAAGGTGTTTAAAAGCGTTATTCTTAACCTGAGCTTAAAATAATAGAGTAACACTTAAAGGTTAAATAAGTGTGCTTACTGAAACATCTTTAGGTAAAATAATATTGGGTACTAGGGGAGCAATCAAGGACTTCATTTCGTCAACTAGGCAGTTACTTTCTCCATTTCCCCTCTGTGGGAGGTTCTCTGGTATTGCTGTGGTTTTTCAGGATGATGTTCCACCACGGTCACTGAGTTGATTTGAGCAAAAGAGTCCTAATGATGTAGCCCTACCTTTGCTGACATTGGGCTCAGGACCATCAGCTAAAGAGCCTTATCTGATGGTAGCCTTCTGCTTTAGCTTCTGTCCACATGGTACTGCCTGAGTCTCCCCAAGCTCTCCTGCAACAGGATGCCTTTGTCCCAGAGCTTTGGTCCCAGAGCATTTAAATGAAGCTCTCACTATATGTTCTTACCCTTTAGTTTTATAAGTTAATCCCTCTGATTCAGGATAATGCTGGCTTTCTTATTTCCAATCACACACTTCTTGAAAGCTATTTCCATTTTAAATAAGATCTAAAAAAAAAGGAATAAGTAGTTAGTTGGTAGCTTGTTCTTTTTTTAAATTTCATAGTTTTCATAGCAGACTCTAAACCATTATGAATTGTCATAATTTTACACACTGGAGTAGATAAGGCAGCCCGATTAATAATTGTTCTACTCCAATTACAGTGGAGTAGAACACAGCAGAGCATTGGAATATAAGCTCATCTAACGTAAAAAGGACTTAGGATTTCTATCAGTCCTTTCCTAAAGGTATCTGTTGGATTGATCTCAGCATCAGTTCCAGCCCACAGATATTAAGAGACTGGGGCGGAGAGAATGTCTGCTAAGGGTAGGAATGACGTTTGCCTATCAACCTCAGCAAGTGAAATTGAGGCAGAGAGTGTCGCTGCTCAATAAAGGCAAACTGTACTCTTCAAGAACAGGCGGAACATCTTAGTCATCTTTGGATCTTCAGATCATGTCAAAGGTGGGCAGCAAACATTTGTGAGTTAAATATCAACATCAAAACAATTTAGATTTCCACCTCTACCACTATTTATCTGTCTATCTACACACATGCGTGCACACACACACACACACACACACACACACACACTCTTATGCGTTGCCTTAGAACCAGTTTGGGACCGCTTTTTGTTGTTGTCAATGTGTAAAATATAAAAATGACATGATATTTACAAGTGTGACACCACTTTAAGGATTTTGTGAATATTTTACATTAGTTGCTGTAGTTCTGTTTCCCACAGTTAAGTCATATCAGAATGCAGGTTGATGCAAGTGAGATCATTGTAGTTATAATTTAAATCTGCTTTGGTTTACTTACAAAACATATTTTACAACCATTGGTTTTTTAGTCTTTATTAGTAATTTCTTATAACATATTAGTGTGTTGGTAACCTTTGCTTCATAGGATCCAAGTCCTATTACTTATGTACCATTTGAGATATTAGACCTTTGCTCATTGGGAAAATAAGGTTCTGTCGTACTTATTTTAACATTATTTTTAAGGTGGAACTTTATTAAGTTTCATATTTATTTTCTTTGATTTTGTATTTTACCTCTTTAAAGTAGACATATTGGTCTTAACAGTATTATAATGGATACAATAGGCTACTATATAGCCTAGAAATTTGACCTGATGTTATTTTCAGATTTTAAAATTCCACCCATTGCTTGTGTCTTAGGGTACAGGATTTCTGTAGTAAGCACTCAATTTCCATTAATTATTTAAGTTCATTAGCTACGTTAATAATCTATTAACATAAAAAGATCTTCTATCATTATGGTAAGCAGCTATAAATACAGGTTTTGTTCTGAGCCCTTAAGAATAATTTGAGTGGTTTTTGATGATTAGAATCCTAATATATTGATCTTTGATGGATGCCCTTCTTCTCTGTTTTCTTTAAAGGTTATTTTATAGCTCTTAGCACACTGTCCTGATCTGCAATGATCACCAGATTCTAACTTTTACTAGTCTGTTTAGACTAAAGTCAATTCCTAGAATGACCTGCAAGAGAATTATAGCGACCATACTGAAACATTGATGGAACGTGCTCCTGATATTTTTGTATGTGTTAATAATTTTGACTCAGTCAGAATTTCAGAGCTGGAAGAAGCCTTGGGGGAGGGAGAGGGGGTTATCTGTACCCTTTTAAGAATCTGGTGCTCTCTTGAGCAGAGGATGTTTTTGAAGATGCAGGACTCTCAAGAACAGTAGATCTGGTCCTCATCTCTCGTTTCTCAGATGTAGAAATGTAGGCTCGGAAAGGTGAGATGACTTGCCTAAACCTGCATAGTTTGCCTTTTAACCTTTAACTAAGTCACAAAATGTCCCCTTTGGAATTCATTTCTCTTTTTTCCCCTCATGGTATTCAGGTGGAGGTGAGAATAATTAATGTAACTATGCAGTGTATCTGAAAATTAAATAGAGAAAAACATGCAATACTGTGCTCTTTGTAGCATAGTTACTGATGGTACTACCAGATAGATGACACTCATAGATAATCATTGTGAGAAAAACTTGGTTACCTCTGTACTTTAGCCGTTTGTTCTATAAATATTTATTGAACATGGATATGGTCTTTGCTCTAAGGAAACTGACATTCTGCTGAGAGACAATAAACTAGTAAACAGAATACTGAGTATAGTGATAAGTTGTTATGCAGAGAGCTAAAATAAGATATTGAGATAGCAAGTTATGTTAAGTGGCCAAGGGAGGTCTCCTGAAGTTGTGGCATTTAAGTTGATATCTATTGACCAGAAGCAGCCATTCAAGCCAAGATTCAGGGAAATTAACTTTCCAGGCAAGACTAGCTGTGTAGAAGCCTTGAGGCAAATATAGTGTTTACGGAATGGAAGATGGTCAGTGTGGCTAGAGAATTAGTGGATAAGGAGGAAAATGGTGAGACCAGGTAAGAAGGGACAGATGAATAGGGCTTTGAAAGCCAGGTTAATGATGAGTTCGGAATTTATTCTAGGTGTGATTGGAAGCCATTGAAGATTTTTAAATGAGAGACACATGATCTGATTTACATTTCTTAAAGGTCACTCTACTTACGGAGCATGGGATGTAAGGAAGCAGGAGTGGAAGCAGGACAGCCAGTTAGGAGGCTGCTGTTGTGTTTTGTCAAGGTTTGGATTAGGGTGCTAGCAGTGACAGTAGATAAAGGGGGGCCCATGTGGGATAGATTTTAGGCTTGGAGTTTAGAGAACTTACTGATAGATTGGGCAGAGGGAGAACAAGGAATCAAGGTTAATTCTGGACTTTTATCTTGAGGAACTGGATGAATGGGACCTTTACAGTGGTGGGGGAGAGTGTAGAGTTAGGTTCTGATGACATGATGTTTGAGACTTGGGCCATTAGGGGGAGATTTGCTGTGACACTGGACTAGTATCTTATCCTCTTTATAAAACTTTGCCCTTCTGTAAAATGAGGGTTTTAAACTAGGCATTCTTTACAGTTCCCTCTACCTTAAGAATTTTCTGAGCTGTGGGTTGATTTTAATATGAGATATTCTGTGGGAGTCTAAGACCAGGTTTTATTAAAGGGAAATATTAAGGGCAAGTAAGCCCTGATGGGAGCCCAAGACTTGCTGGTATTTCCTAAGCTTCCTCTGTCACCACGTTTCTGTGGACTAGAACATGAATCTTGAATCTGGTTGATTTCCTTAAAGCCTTTTTGAACACTTTGCAAACTATTGAATCCATGTGACAGATAATGAGAGGTGAATCTTTAGTACAAGAATTGGCATATTTATAGCATTTAACTCAACAAATATTTTTCATGTGCTTACCAAGTGTTGGGTGAGACTTGAAAGTCAGCTCTGGGCTCTGTTACGTTAATGTGACTTTTTTTTTCTTTAATAGCAAAAGCAGACATGTGTCAGTTTAAATTCAACATCAATGTATTTGGTAAGCGGAGGCCTAAATAACACTGTTAATATTTGGGATTTAAAATCAAAAAGAGTTCATCGATCTCTTAAGGTAAGCAACTTTTTTTTTTTTTTAATCCTTACAGAAATGGGTATCCCACAATGTTTATTAGTAATAGTTACCAAACTTTTAATTTTGAGCTTTTATGATAAAAATAAGCTGCTTCAGAATTGAAGTGAGATTTGTTAGGGAAAAGAAAGATGCTGTGTAGCCAAAAACAATTTTTTTGGTTTATTTTTCCCTCCACATATGTTACTATATTGCTATATTGCTGGGGTTAAAACTTTTTCCTTATTTTTTCACTTTGGTCTGCTCTCGTGTGAGTGAACCACTTACTTCATTTAAAAAAAAATATGGTTTGTTGTCATTAGAGATCTTTTTAAGGCACTTCGAAATAATGAGAGTGGTTTTGGGATGACAGTATTTGGGGATATGGCTTCTTAGTTCTCTGCTACAGTTTGTATGTATGTATTTTCATCTTGGTAATGAAATGTTTCTAAAATGGTTTACAACTTACAGTTAGTGTTTCTTTAAATAGTTAGCTTTTTGCAGTTTCAGAAAATGAAAATAATCATCATGAAAGCCCCTGGTTGCAATTGTTTTTTTGGACTTCTGTCTTTTTAATATTTGGAAGTTCATTTATTAAATTATTTTTAATTTTTATGTCTTTTAAAAAAGTTTTAATATGCAAAATTTTAAACATATTTTTATCTATACACACACATACCTATATACACAGAGAAAGAACTTCCTTTAACTCATCATCCATATATTCATCACCTGATTTCAGTGATGATCAACTCATGGCCAGTATTGTTTTATTTATGTGCTCATCTACTCTCTCATCTTCAGACCTTCAGAGTATTTTGAAGCAAATACCAGAGATCATTATAATTTTATTACATATCTTAATGTCATTGAGTTAATTCTTACTAGAGAAATAGTATATAGAAAATGGTTTTCTCTTAGCTAAGTTGAAATATAATCTTATGATTGCTGCTTAAAATATTACTTTTGGAAGTTCATTATTTTAAGTATTAACTAAACTTTGAAGAGTCTTCGGGAAAATTGAAAAGTTGCCAATAATGAGAATACTTAACTTTTATTGAATTCTTTCACATGCCAGCCACTGTGCTTAACATATTTATTCTATCTATTCTACAACTCTGCAGAGCAAGTAGTATTATTCCTAAGTACAGATGGAGAAACTCCGACTCAGAGATGTTAAAGAACTTGTTCAATGTCAAGCAACTAGTAAGGGCAAAGATGAGAGGCACACTCAGATACTATTCATTGTTTAATATTTTAAATTATGAAATAATTGAATTAAAGCTGTTCAGGGGGATATACCTAGTATGACTAAAGAATATCTTAAAGAATTGAGAAGAGATTAGAAGTCTGTGGCCAATTTTGTCACACAGTGTCACACGTTTTAGGAGCATCACTTATTCCCATCCCTCCTTACATGGCAAAATTCTACTCATTTTTCCATCCTCAGCTGAATGACTTATTTTCCACAGTTGAAATCAGGAAGACACACCTGCCTCTTTACAAAGTCATAGAAATTGTATTGGACCCCACGTTATAATTTCTCAAATGGGAATGATGCACTATATGTCCACTCCTTTTTCCTTTCTTATCAGATATTCTTTTCCTCAGGATGACATTTGTTTGATTTAAAAAAGCAGTAAAATGTAAAGGCATTTCCCAGCATGCTTCAAGGACCATTTGAAAAAGTTGTAAAATAAGTGGAATATTATAGCTACTATTCTTGATATTACATTAATCTAATTACAAGATACAAAGGTTGGTTTGTTTATCTTATTAAGGTATGACATCAAACTTAAAAACTATGCTGATCACTATGCTCCTAGGCTAGATATCTCTAATTTAATTTTGGAAAACATAGTCCTTGTGAACTCAGTTTGTTTAAAACTGAACAGTTTTATTTCCTCAAAGTGGATTCCCCTTTGGATTTGGGAGACAGTCGAGTATAATGAGAGGAAAATAAGCTTTGGAATATGACCTGGATTGAATCCTGGCTCTGCCACTGGCAGTTCTGTGAGCTTGCACAGTTTCTTAACCTTAGTTAACTCATCTATCAAATGGGGAAAATGGCCTTGCCTCCCATGATTGTTCTAAAGATTAATAATAATATATAAAACTCCCAGCCTTAGTCGGTACTCAGCAGATGGAAGCAGCAGCCATCAAATCTCAAACATGCTTTGCTCATTCTGGCTTTGGGGCTTTTGTTTTTTGCTCTCTTCTATTTTGCAGTGTCAGTTTTCTTTCTCCTCCCCTAACTTACCTCTTATTACTTTTTTTAATGTTGAACTCAAGCTTTCTGTCTTCCATAAAGCTTCCTCTGTCAACTCAGTTCACAGTGATAACTCTCTTTCCTCTGACACTTTGCCTCTGCCACTCATTTAGCATTCATTCTGCCGTTTGCATGTTCACTTAAATGTCCTGTCTTCTCAGTTGAACAGTAATATTCTCAAGGGCAGGGACTCTCATAATAATCAACTTGCAATAAATGTTACTTGTCAGTGGAAGTGAATTCTTTAAGGTAGACATAATGCCATTTAGAAAATTACCTTTCCTTTTTGTCTCTTGTTTCAGGGTGCCTGACCATTATTATGGTTATGAAAAATAAATCTTTGTTCCCTGAAAAGACTTGGTGTTAATCAGATAGTTTACTACTCACTTGAGTAATTTTTAGGGGGTTATTTGAGGAAAATTTTCAAGCATATATTAGATTGACAAATACATAATAGTTACAAAACATGAAATTTACAAAAACCCGTGGAAATATGCTGTTTGAAGGTTGTGTGGCACTGTATTTACTTTCATTTCTTTCATTCAGGATCATAAAGATGAAGTAACTTGTGTAACATATAATTGGAATGACTGCTACATTGCTTCTGGATCTCTCAGTGGTGAAATTATTTTGCACAGTGTAACCACTAATTTATCTAGTACTCCTTTTGGCCATGGTAGTAACCAGGTACAGTATGGATTTATTCAAAATAAAGTTGATAAGATAGATTTTTAAATTACCTTACATAAGACAATGAATTTGAGTTTTTAAAATTGAGTATTTTAAATTTGCATTTAGCTCACTCAAACTTAGGTAGCTATTCTTTAATGGTAGTATGTAAAAGCTAATTCATACTAGATGATGGTGCTTACATGAGTTCGGTTATGCCACTGAACATGCTCCTAGAACTTAACTATGTATAAACAATACAGATAATTGTTAATAGATTAAGCCCAAAACATGGATATTAATTACGACATTATAGAAGTGTTGCATAGCTTAAACTATGTCAGCTACAAGACAGATACTTAGGTTCATAAATACTCTGTTTGGTGGACATGGAATAATTGTATTGGGTTGGCAAAAAGTTCATTTGGTTAATGAATCCATTGTTCAATAAAGTTCTTGGTGAAAATGAAAAATGTCTTTTATTTTTACTTAAAACTGAATGAACTTTTTTGGCTAACCCAATATTTAGGCACAGGGTAAATTGAGTTTTCTTGTTTGTTTGTTTCAAGTATGTGATAGTTAAAGTATCAAAGCATATTTATGTATTTCAGGTTAATACGAGTATTTAGGGAAAATTTTTATAGAAGAAAATTAGTCAATTATTGAATTTTTTTTCTTTATAAAAATTAGTCTATAAAATTCTTAAAAGAATATATTCAGTTTCTCAAGAAATCTAATTCTTGGCTAACTTTCCATGAAATTCTCCACAGGAATTTCCAATGAGGTGAAACTTCTTTTAATCTTTTTAGTGTAATCACTTTGGCCATAAGTATTATTAGATAAAATATGGGAGCTCTTCAATTTTGAAAAGCATTAAAATCATTATTTGAATAGTATTTAGTGTTTAAGGAAAATTTAATGGATATTAAAAATGTACAGAAAAAAGTCTTTTCTCAGATTTCATATGTATTGAGGTAATAAAAGAGATGTACATATAAATGATTTTATGGAAGATTGATGAAAAACAGTCTCATGGTGATCCAGAACAGAGAAGACTGTCTGATTGGGAATAAAATAGAGAAAGTTGAAGGAGGGAGGATTTCATCTGGGTCTAAGGCTTATAACTGATTTTGTTTTGTTTTGTTTTACTAGTATATTAACTGGCCTCTGGCAGTTATTTGATTCTAGCTTGTATTAGGGTTAGCTCTTTACATGTCCACATTATAGTTGGAACTGTGTCTTGTTTCTTTGTACTCAGCCATTGTCTAACTTTGTGCCTTATATGGAAAAGATCCTCAATAAATATATGAGTATATGAATACATTTAAAGATAACAAAGATCTTAATAGGCTAATAAAGAACTTTGGGAGAGGGATATTTTATATGGAGGAAATCATATGAAGAAAAACAAGGAGAAAGGAAAGCGTATGGGTTTTATATAGGGCTAATGTGAGAAAAAGATTAGAAAGGTAAGCAGGAACATAGTGTTGAAGTGGGACTTTGAATGCCAGACCAAACTTTGGCTTTTATTTTGGAAGGCATTTAGGGAACTCAGAATTTTTTGATTAGTTGAATATTAGAATCATAGAAACCTTGAACTGAGAAAAGACTTTAGAGGTAATCTCACTTTCTGCATTTTATGGTTGAGGATAAGTGATTTGCCACAGAGAATGTATTAATATTGTCATAAAAATAGGAAATAATATTTTGTTTTTGTAATTTTTTTGGTTATTATGATAATGGAGACATAAAACCTAAGCCCACAGAAGTTGGAACTATTGGAAAAAAATCGTATCTAGTGTTCAGATGCCTTGCTTTTTAAAGAAATAGAGTAATCTTCTCCTCCTCCTTCTTCTTTTCCCCTTCCTCTTCCTCTTCTTCTTTTTCTCTTTCTTCTTCCTCTTCTTTTCCTCTTTCTCCTCCTCACTTCTTTGGTATATTAGAAGCATGCTAAATTTAGATTTATAAATTCTGGGTTGACTTTTCAGTAACATAAATATTAGGTCATATACTACCATGTATATTCTTAGATTTCAGTTTTTATTGTATTTTGCTAGAGGGTTTTCTTATTAAAACAAAAGATGAAGGAATAGTCGTGAAAACATTAGGTTTGGTTACTGCTCTTGGCCTTATTGTGTGTAAAATCTTAAAGTTTTAAAAATTGAGATAACTTACATATAATAAAGTACATATATCTTAAATACACAGCTTGATGAATTTTTATACATACATACACCTGTGTAACTACATACTACCAGAATCAAGATACAGAATCTTAATCCTTTCCAGTCATTGCCTCATATTTCTTAAAAGAATTATATGTGTCTGGTTTCTCTTAGTCTTCATTATGTTTGCTTTGTTGCATGGAATAATAGTAGTTCATACTGTTTTACTACTGTGTAGTATTCCATTATATGGATGTGCCACAATTTATTTATCCATTCTACAGTTGATGGACACATGAACTGTTTCCAGTTTGTAGAGAACTCTACAAACTGTTTCCAGTTTGTAGAGAAACTGTGAGAAAGCTACTATAAATATTCTTATATAAGTCTTTTTATGGATATATGTTTTCATTTCTCTTGAGTAAATACTCAGGAGTGAAATTGCTGGGTCTTAGGGTAGGCATCAATTTTTACTTTATTAAAAATTGCCAGAAAGGTTTTAAAGTGCTTGTGCCATTGTCTACTTCTCCCAGCAATGTATGTGAGATCCAGTTGCTCCACGTTTTTGCTTATACCAAATATTGTCTAATTAATTTTAACCACTTTGATGGTTGTGTAGTTGTATCTCATTGTGGTTTTAATTTGCATTTTTCTGTGTTGAATGAGTTGGCACACTTTTATATACTGTGAGGTCACTGTTCAAGTCTGTTTATCCTTTTTGTTTGGGGTTATTTCTGTTTTTCTGATTGATTTATAGTTTATTCTGTATTCCAGATGGAGTCATCTTTTGGATATACACGTTGCATATATCTTCCTTTAGCCTACGGCTTGCCTTTCCACTCTCTTAATGCCTTTAAAAAAAAATGAACAGAAATTCTTAAATTTATGTCTGTTATGCTCCATTTCAAATTAATTTTTGTATATGGTGTGAGATGGGGTTCATCTTTCTATACAGGTATATAGTTATGCCAACATTATTTATTACAAAGTCCATCCGATTGCCACTGGGGTGAGTGTAGGTGGTGAGAGGGTTCAGAGAGCATTCAGGCAGAGGTTATATCACCTTGTAGAATTCTTACTACCATTTATTGTGTTTCAAGTATAGTGATCATTGCTTTATATTACATTTTCTCATTTATTCTTTGCTACTCACTTGTGAGGTATAGGTTATTCTCATTTTACAAGTGAGAAAACTGAGATTCCAGGACTTTCTGACCACAAGATTCTTAACTGACTGATCTGAAGGTCGACTCTTGAAGAGTGGTAGCATTGTTTCCTTTTGAGTCTCTTTCTAGCTCAGAGACAGCTGAATGTATAAGGATTTGAGGATCCAAACTTCTGGAAACTTTGCAGTATTCTCTTGTCACTTTGTGCAAGAGTCCAACATTTATTTATTCTTATCTCTTCTTCCCATGAAGAAAATTTTTTTAAATTCTAGGTGACAGGTTGCTGTATTGTTGATTTTCAAAGGATTTTTTTCATTGATTACTTTGCATGGCAAAACTGAATATATCTTCTAGTTTAGGAAAACAGTAATGCTCAAAGCTTATCTCTTGTGCAAGGTCAGATGAACCAGAACCTAGATTTTCGCATTCTTGGTGCCTCTTGTTTGGGCAGTTGGCATCTCTATAAGCTTTTTTGGTATAGCTCTACATTGTAAATCCCACATTTATTTGGAGAGCTAGCTGTGTGAGCCTGGGCAAGTGACTTAACTCTCAAGCCTCCTTTTCCTTAACTGTCAAGTGAGAATGAAAATATACTTTCAACAGGGTTTTGTTTGGTTTTGGTGTTTTTTGTTTTTTGTTTTTTTTTGGTCTAGATGAGATGCTAACATAGTTCCTAACATGTGGAGATTAGGGAACTTTAGTGTGAACTTTTAATGAATAATCATATTAATTTACTAAAATAGCTTTTGTGATTTACTTCTGCAAACTGGTTTGAACATCTTTAGGTTTAATGTGTTCCCTCCAAACCCCTGCTAATTAACCAGTTGTAACTTGACCTCAGTAATCATATTTTGTGTTTTAGAGCAACTTAGAATAAGAAGAGCATTAAAGAAGGTGAAGAAATCGAACTGGAGTGTGTTGGTTTTTTTCCCTTTTCCTGGAACAAATGTTTATATATTTTTCGTGTATTATATTATTTCATTTTTCTCTACAGCATTAAAGCAGAGTGCCATGGGTTAGGAAATACCACTTGGCCTCTTTGTATGTAAGTATGCAGTCTCAGTTTTCTTAGTGAAGAAAGTCACAGTTATGATTTTGTATACTTACGTTTCCATTTTACAGGCAGCATAATTGAAATCTGTGGAGGTTTTTTTTTATTAAGATTCCTCACAATTCATTTATGATTTCAAGTATATTAAATATTCATTTTTTAAATTTAAACAATGTTCATAAAAATTTCAAGTCTGTCTAAAAATTGACATAATTCAATTCCAATACACTGTCACCCAGCCCATTTTCTACACTGACAGTTTTACTATAGGGTTTGGGTTTTTGAGAAAAATAGTAGGTAGGGCACATATAATGATTAAATTAAAATTTTCTATTTTTGTTTCTGTGAACAATCAAGAATTTGAAATCTTTAAAAATCATCAAATTGATTTCTTAGCAAAAGTTACAAAACCATGGAGTCTCACTGAATCTGCATTATACTGAATTTCATATTGGAAATGAGATTGCCTGAATATATTGAGAATCTTACTTTGAAATGTCTGAGCTGAATTGAAGCTGTTAGTTTTTTGTGGATCGCAGTGTCTGTCTGCAGGGGAGAAAGAGCCTTACTGCTTCTGCAGAGCTGCCAGGGCTGACAGACTCCTTAGCATTTAATTGCAAGTCGCTATTTGGCAAG